ATCGCTAATAAAAAATCCCGATTTTCGACTAAGAAAAAATATCGTAGTATGCCCTGAAACTTCAATAAACATTTCAAATTTTGTCCCAAGGTAGACCTTTCAGTACTTGATATTTCAAAAAAAAATTATTAAAATCGGTTTACAACTTAAAATTTTAGGGAGGTGTTTCCATTAAAAATGGGTCACACTGTATATTTCAATTCTTTGGATAAAGTAAATTTATTTGGTAAATTACAAATGTTGGCTGATGACACCACTTTAATTTACACTGGAATTGTTTTCGTTGCTTTGTTCTGAATTCTACAAACTATATGTTTTTTTTTTGGCACACTGGCCTAAAGTCGGCAGTACATTAATTAAATTGAACAGGATAATTTGGTGGTGGATTGTTTTATATGTAGTTCCGATTCTTCTGAAGCATCCATTAGTGGAATCAAATGCTTCTACACTTTTTCTCTGTACTTTATCCATGACAATTTTTCATTTATCAAGAAACCTATACAGTGCATTTCTTTAATGTCCCCCCCCCTTTTTATTTTTTGATCGGGCGACCCAAAAAATTGAAATTTGGAATAATGAAACTAATGGATGAATACTTTATTTTGAAGTGAAATTGACAGATGAAGCTTTCGAAATGGCGACTGGGCATCATCTGGGAAAAAAAGTTGAATGGAAAAGGGGGTTAGTGACACATCCTTTCGAAGCTCCCGACAAATGCTTCATAACCGAACAATATATCTTCACCTACTACAAAATGGCGGAACTTTTAATAATTGCCTGAATACATTGACATTTAACTACATAATATGAGGTAATTAGGTTGAGGTCAGTTCAGAAGATGCTCGAAATGGTTGCCTTGAACTTCTTGACATGAACAGCCTATCCGATATTTCATGACGAACACAGTAACGTCAATATGTCTACAAATATTTATTTTTCTCTGCCGTATATCCAATATTGAAGCAGGTTCAGTTTCGTACACCTTTTGCTTCTAATAGCCACATAAAAAAAGTCCAAAGGTGTCAAATCTGGCGAGCGGGCTGGCCATTCTGTAGAACCTCGACGGCCAATCCAACGACCGGGAAAAGTAGTGTCCAAATAGTTTCCTACTTGTCTGGAGGAATGTGGTGGTGCTCCATCTTGTTGGAAAACAATATCCATATCGAATTCATTAGGATTCGCTTCGATGATTTCAGTGATGACAAGGTTAACAGTAGTTTCCTACATACTCAAACACAGTTCTTCAGTTGAATTTTGATCAACAAATAGAGGTCCTACAATATGGTTTCCCAATATTGATAGATTGTTGACGTGGTACCTTTCTACTAGTGAAACCGAAAACTAAATGAGAATATTTTAACTGAACAATAATATTCATTGTCGTATTGACAATTAAAGGGGGGGGGGGACATTAAATAAATGCACTGTATATTAATTGTTTTCAATATGCATAATGTCACGATATGATACCTGGTTTTGACTACTGAAGCACATGATTTTTTAATTTTCTAGGACCCTACCACGCCTTCACCGCTTCAGCTACCATTACTTTCGACTCCTCCATCTACGATTCCCTTCAGTTCGACTCCTGCATCCTCACCACTGCCTTCACCTGCGATTCCTACAACTCCCGTTACCGACAAGTCGATATCAACTGTTCTCTCTGGAGAATCGAACTCCACCCCCACGCACTCAAACGTAGCTCCTCTGGAGCACATTACCCTGGGCGAAGATAACAATCAGGAGGAAGTTTCTAAAGCAGACGTCGATCCCTTGGATCTAGGAGAGGCGGGCACGTCTCAAAACGATATCTTCAGTTCAGACGAAGAGAGCGACTCTCTGCTGAGGTCAGAGAAGGTGAATAAGGAATCGGAAGTGAGTATCGAAGTACGTATAACAGATAGATGAATGTATTGAAATTTAGAAATATGTACAGTGTTTTGAAGGGACACCCTGTATGTATAGAGCTTAAAATCACCTTTCCAAAAATGTAGCACGCTTGATGTATTACAAGAGTCATCTTTGAAATACAGAGCTTTGAGGTTTTTTTTCATGCTTTCCACAGTAGTGATTAAAACGCATAGTTTCAATAAAACTGATAACAATATAGAGTTTGACTCACGGTCGATGGGGGGTAGACGTTTCTGGAAAACGCAAAGCATGATTTTTCTGAAAATTTCACCTCTCCCATTTCCTTACCTATTCTATCGATCTAAAATATTTTCAGCATTGCGGCGTATTGCCACTTCCATTAAAAAGTCCTAGCAACTTTATTTTTTTAAATGGAACAC